CTTATTTTTCCTCAGTTTTTTCTACTTTTATTTATGTTTGGAGGGAATACTTGACGTTCTCAACGGAAAATGTGGAGATCTACTTCACAGTAGATCTCTAGTAGTACAAAATATTGGTTATATATATTTTTTCAAATATTGAAATAATATTTGTTAAGCCACACTTTTTAATATGAAATATTGTGGGACTATTGATGCTGCGTTCATACATACATCCAAATTGTCATAAAAAACAAACAACATAGCTGAGTGTAATATTAAATGATAATTTTGACGTTTAATTTTAAGCAAGGTCTCATATTAGGACTAATTTTTTAAAACCGTTAATTTTGTACTCCTTTATATTTTCACTATTTTCATAATGAACAATAGTAGATTATTTAACTAATATTGTTTCTAAATATGTAGCAATGAATGACAAATATAGTAGTATAAACACTTTTAATTCTTTCCTTTTCTGGTTGCCCGATATTTAATCAAATACAAATAGGGTTCCGTATTTGGTGTCGTAAGTTGATCCTAACCTAATCTTGTCAGTAACGCTGCACAAGGGATAATATAATGTAGATATATACTGTCAGAGAACACGATCAGACGTAAATTCTATAGATCAGTGATGATAAATAAATTATAGAACTGCTTGGTTACTATTTTCGAAATAGAATCATCTGATCCTAACCTATATAATCTTTTTGGTGATACAATTAGGGGATGACGTGTGGACCTACATCAATACTGTCAAAACAAATGTAACGGAAAGTTTACATAGTTAAGTGGAAATCGGATATTCAATCTCAAAGTCAAAGTAGATTTCTATCACCCAACCGAGACTGCTTCAAGCCCCATTTCTATGTAACTTAATCCCATTGGTAATAGTAGGGGATGCATTGATTTAGATAAATGCAGTCAAAGCATGACTAAATTCACGTGGTATAATACAAATCAACGTTAAGGGTAACGTTCGATGTTTGTTTATCATAGAAAATCAGTTTCATTTTCCATTTTGGTTTATTAATATTATGGTTACCTGTTTTGTAAAATTTTGCCTAATAAATTATATGTTAAATAATTATATTTAAATAGTAATGTTAATGTAAAACGAATAAATCATTTTGTTAGTATTATTCGAGGAATTAAGGAATATTATACCATTAGAAGTATTTGTTATTTAGTATATATTGATTTAAGAAACCGTTTTTTACTTTCATAAATCTAATTAAGGAATAATGAATGGCATAATAATTGGATGTAACAATGATAAACAAACTGTAGAACTACCTACTTACTATTTTCGAAAAAAAGGTCATCTTTTTTATCCCAAATATTAAGAAACTCATATTTCTGACGGCTGTTAATGCTGCGCTCCTAAATTGACTAACATTTTTTTGTTAATACACTATGTCTTACTGATAAATTTGTTCAACTTTGCCTTTGGTTTAAAGCGAATATTTATGCAAATTTATATGGTTCTTATACACTCACCGTTCACTCTAGCCACATGGAATTTTAAACGATTATTAATAGTTTTATACATGCAAAACTGAGATAAAATATTTGTTGAATTTATAAATCTTCTAATGTAAAATTCTTACTGCGATTATTGTGTTTTTCACTATTTATCTGAAAGTGGTCTGCGAAGGCTTCACATTCAATTTCTAGACAGTAATGTTTGCAATTTTGTAAATTCTTTAATTAGTTGCTAATTAATGATTGGAATAAATGTTACGTGTCAATACGTAAATATTTATATTTTTAATAATGTTTCATTGTGGTATTTTATGAACAGTAACAATTTGGGCAGCGATCGTCTTAAAACTGACTGTCAGTGGTTAGCCGTCGCAGGATAGTTTCTAGTCGCCAGTCACTGTAGTCTCTATTTTAGAACAGTTTATAGCCTCAAACAGATAAAGGAAACCTTTTCTTTTTAATTTTTCCCTGCATTTTTGCAATCTGTTATATTTTAACAATAAACAAATTATTATTTATTATTATATTTATCATTATTGAAGTTAGTACCTATAATCAAATGATAACAAAGTTCTTTTAAATTTTTTATTTATTTATTTGCATTCTGTTATATTGCAACAATAAACAAATTATTTGTCATTATTGGAGTTAGTATAATCAAGATAATGTTGAAAAGATGTGTGGCTCAATGGCTCAGAGATCCCCTTCAATTTATGAAATTCTCATCATGCAGTATCACGTAGTAGACGCTGATTTAAATTGTATAATATATTAATATGAATAATACATGATACAATGTAATATAACATGAAATGTATAATAAATTAAAAGCCGACGAAAATAGTGATAAATAGCAAAACGTGAACGCTTATACCTATCTGTCCTTTATCATTCTGTAAAATCGTGCTCACCTCTGTTTATAATTAATATTATTTTTTCACCGTAGCTCTAGATAGTGCTTCTAAATATTTAACACTCGTAATCATTATTTAATCAACAGATTTCAAACGTTTGTGTTGTCTTGTTCAGAGAATACATACCTATTAAGAAAATACTACAAAACAATTGTTCATTCGTATACCTGATAGTAATATTAGTTAATAATAATGGTAAAGAATAATACAAATTTCTTAGCTTTTGCTTATAACTTATATATAACTGATAGATTACGTAGATCATTGATCTATAGATATAATACAATGATTATAGATCACAATAATCTACTTGAAATCTACACAATAATATAGATAACTGATAGATAACGTAGATCAATAATCTACAGATAACTGATAGATAATGTAGATCAATAATCTACATGAAATCTACACAATAATATAGATAACTGATAGATAACGTAGATCAAGAATCTACAGATAAGTGATAGATAATGTAGATCAATAATCTACATGAAAGATGTAGATCAATGATCATAATAATCTATAGATAACGTAGGTCAATGATCTATAGATCACAATAGTCTATAGACAACTGATGAATAACGTAGATCAACAATCTACACGAAATCTATACACTAATCTATAAATAACTAATCGATAACGTAGATCAATGATCATAATAATCTATAGATAACGTAGGTCAATGATCTATAGATCACAATAGTCTATAGACAACTGATGAATAACGTAGATCAACAATCTACACGAAATCTATACACTAATCTATAAATAACTAATCGATAACGTAGATCAATGATCATAATAATCTATAGATAACGTAGATAAATGATCTATAGATCATAATAATCTATAGATTACCGATAGATAACGTAGATCAGTAATCTATGTTATTTATCAGTACTCTGAAAAGATCGACTGTGGATCCGTGTTAACTAAGCATTTTTTATTCGGTTCACTGAGTATTACGGACATCAACAATTTTGCGTACCATCTTTCGAGAACATGCCGTAGACAGGACAGATGTGGCTCGTCACTCCTAAATGAACGATATTAAGCTTTGGACACGTCGGATAATGAAGACCTCGTGAATCGGCGGAGTCATAAACCCGAGGCAACAACACCCGCCGCCGCCGCGTCGATCGGAACACCACTACTGGCTGTTTCCCATAAAATGATGACGGTGGGCCAGAAAGCTATAGAGATAGAGCCAACCCTCATGAATTTTATTAGGCGTCTATCGGTCGATTGCATAATAAACGTCACGGTTTTCCAGCGTGTCTTATTTCGCCCACTTTCTAACCCGTTTCTCGTTCGATAATTAATTCCTGGTCTGTTAAATATTTGTATTTCTAAACGGTGTTACATCTAACCCCGACCGTTCAAAGAGTACGAAGAAATAATATTTACATAATTTTATATACAGGGTGTGGCATTTATGTTGACACACAGAGATATCATAAAAACAAAACATTTCATAAGAAAGTATTTTACACAAAAGTTGTTCGATTTTGAGGGGGAAAGAGAATGGACATTATTTATCTTTAATCTGGTGAACGTTTCGAAAATCATTTAATCGACAACTTCGTTTTTTTAAAATGAATAAAAGAACTTTTTAAAAAAATAGAATAAAGAAACGTTTCAGACAAAAATTATGTTTTTTTTTGCGTAGTTTAATGATTTGTTGAAAGAAATTTAGGTATCCCTGTAAAAAAACGAAGTTGACCTTCCAATGACCTTCGAAACGTTTACCAGATTAAAAACAAATAATGTTGTAAACTTTTGTCTGAAAACAAATTTTTTCGAAAGTGATTTTTTCAAAAATTGTACCTGCCTAGAAAAAAACGGTTTACAGAAACGTCTGGTAACGGTTACGACGTAGGAAAAACGTTATAATTCGTTGAATAGTGTAACAAACAAGTACAACGGACTCTTACGATATTGCCGCGGCCGCGGTTATGGGATAGTAGTAAAATTCTCGAAAACGGCAATTCGTCGAGAGTCCACTTCGTGGCGATGGCATGCGCAACGTGGTGGGAGAGTAAAATTGTGTGCGTAAAAGTACGTGTGCAGGGGAAATGCTCCGCGTGGCAATAGGCCACGCGGCATTACCATAAGAGTCCACCGTAGATTAACAAATCCTCGATGCCTTACAAAAATAGAAAAAAAAAAAAAAAAAATCCTCAGTGCCTTACTAAAATAGAAAAAAAAAACTAATCCTCGGTGCCTTCCTAAAATAGAAAAAAAAAACTAATCCTCGGTGCCTTCCTAAAATAGAAAAAAAGAAAACAAATCCTCGGTGCCTTACTAAAATAGAAAAAAAAATACACTTTTGTTCCAGGACAATCCATGTCACCAGAATCATCAAGGGAGACATAAAATGCCAGTGGACTGTGCAAAGTGAGTCAGTGGTGGTTCGGACATCTTCGGATCGTCGGCCATCTATCAGATCGTCGGCCATCTATCCGATGGACGAGGGGGAAATGCAATGAAAGAATGTGACAGAGGGTCGTCGGGCTCGATGAGAAGGCACAGCGACGATGTGGATCTGAAGGGAACAAGAAGAGGACGAAGGTGTCTGCTGCGTGTCGCGCAAAGTGACGAATAGATGTGCGAAAGATGCCACGACCGTCGAGGGACACATACGGCGACCAGAAGCCACCTTATTCTTATATTTCCCTGACCGCGATGGCGATTTGGTCGTCGAGGGACAAGATGCTGCCGCTCGCTGAGATCTACAAGTTCATCGCGGATCGGTTCCCCTACTACCGGAAGGACACACGGAGATGGCAGAATTCACTGAGGCACAATCTGTCGTTCAACGACTGCTTCATCAAGGTTCGTAATCTGTTTGGGTTCATTTGATACTGAGGGGACAAGTGGTTCTGAGAGAAATGTGTTTGGATTCTGTGACGATGGAGCTGAGAGTGTAAGGTTCAAATCAAGCGGGCTGACTCGGTTTAATCTATCAGGCTGTTCCTTTTAATCTACTAGGAAGGTACATAGTGTATCTATGGGAATTGGGGCTGACTGGGGTTAATCTATCAGGCTGTCTCTTTTAGTCTACTAGGAAGGTACATAGTGTATCTATGGGAATTGGGGCTGACTGGGGTTAATCTATCAGGCTGTCTCTTTTAGTCTACTAGGAAGGTACATAGTGTATCTATGGGAATTGGGGCTGACTGGGGTTAATCTATCAGGCTGTCTCTTTTAGTCTACTAGGAAGGTACATAGTGTATCTATGGGAATTGGGGCTGACTGGGGTTAATCTATCAGGCTGTCTCTTTTAGTCTACTAGGAAGGTACATAGTGTATCTATGGGAATTGGGGCTGACTGGGGTTAATCTATCAGGCTGTCTCTTTTAGTCTACTAGGAAGGTACATAGTGTATCTATGGGAATTGGGGCTGACTGGGGTTAATCTATCAGGCTGTCTCTTTTAGTCTACTAGGAAGGTACATAGTGTATCTATGGGAATTGGGGCTGACTGGGGTTAATCTATCAGGCTGTCTCTTTTAGTCTACTAGGAAGGTACATAGTGTATCTATGGGAATTGGGGCTGACTGGGGTTAATCTATCAGGCTGTCTCTTTTAGTCTACTAGGAAGGTACATAGTGTATCTATGGGAATTGGGGCTGACTGGGGTTAATCTATCAGGCTGTCTCTTTTAGTCTACTAGGAAGGTACATAGTGTATCTATGGGAATTGGGGCTGACTGGGGTTAATCTATCAGGCTGTCTCTTTTAGTCTACTAGGAAGGTACATAGTGTATCTATGGGAATTGGGGCTGACTGGGGTTAATCTATCAGGCTGTCTCTTTTAGTCTACTAGGAAGGTACATAGTGTATCTATGGGAATTGGGGCTGACTGGGGTTAATCTATCAGGCTGTCTCTTTTAGTCTACTAGGAAGGTACATAGTGTATCTATGGGAATTGGGGCTGACTGGGGTTAATCTATCAGGCTGTCCCTTTTGATCTGCTAAGAAGATTCATAGTAAATTGTGTAGGGACTTGGACTGACTGGGTTTAATCTATCAGGTTGTTTCTTTTAATTTAGCTAGAAGATCTACAGTATATGTATAGAATTACGGGTATACATGAATGATAGTATGCGTTTTGATTCTCTGTCAATGAGACTGAAAATAAGAACTGGTAGATTTATTTCTAACTGTAGGATTGAACTGATTGAATGAATCTATCAGGCTGTTTCCTTTAATCTGCTAAATATATCTGTAATAGTAGGTATAAACATATGGTAGAATGTGTATTTTGTTTCTTTGAGAACAGCCTCTTTCTTTGAATCTTTTACATAGATAACAAGTTCATGGTTTTCCAAAAAAATAATACTGACGAAACCTAATGAATATATTGTTTATTAATGCGCCTAATATACTCAAGTGTTATCTTAATAATATCTGTTTATCCTAAAAAGAAATTTCAGTTGATTTTCCAGCATTAATCACCTTGAACTTGAATAAAAACGTTGAGACTCGAATATATATTTTTGAAGTCGAAATATTATGGAACAATGGCGATGATACAAAGCGACGTGGCGACTAATAATTGCTTTCCGGTTGGTAACCGCGCGATTGGACCGGAAGATAAAGAAAACGGGAACATGATTAATGGAACACGATTCTTCTCTCTGGCTTGAAGTCATTGTTTGCTCGAGGTGTCTAATAAGCGTAAGGAAGTAGATTTTCACACTTCATTTTTTAACCCTTCGAATGTATGGAGAAAACACGAGAAACTTCAATCTAAACGCGAAAGAACAGTAAAAGAAGTACTTTAAATAGCTAATTAAGAATAATAAGAGCTTAAACCATTTCCAAAAAGGAATATAAAAATTGGTACATTCAAAATGCAAGTGAGGACTCTTTTGCAAGATAATTATTATCAAAATATTTATCTTTTTGATGATAGTATGTTAGTTAAAATATTGAAGATCAAAATTCTAATGAGAGAAATTTCTTATGACACAATTTTCACCTCCATTTTCAACAATGTTTCGTTTTGCGATCAGTATTTTAAGATTGAATATTTATGTTTAATGACCTTGAATCTGAAATGTTTATCGAAATGATTCCAATTAAATTGAAGCAGGTTTACGCATAATAATTATCGGTAGATTGAAATTCTCTCGTATGACCTTATTTAGGCAACGATACGATCTCGTACAAATTGCACTGTACGAATGGAACTTTGTACTGGTGCATGTAGATTTTATCGAATTATGTCGATCGTTTTATTCGCTTACGCTCAAAAGTGAAAGTGAATTGGCCGTGCAGCGTGGTCCAAGATGGCGGCGTGTTTATCTTTGATTGGCAGAAATCAAGTGCTGGAAAAATGAGTTTCTGGATTAATAACGTGTATAGTATTACCTGAACTGAAAATAACTCAAAACAGGTGCAAAATTTGATATACATGTAATTTATATATAGAGTGCACAAAATAAGAGTTTAAAAAATATTTAACGTGTACAAAACGAAAAGACGTGAATTTTTAAGATAAATTGAACGATTATTAGATTATATCAAAGTGTATTAGATTATATTAAAGTGTATTAGATTACACTACATTTAATTTCTAAATATATGTAATGTAATGGAAATTGTATATGCAGGGTATACAAAATAACAGATACAAATTTTCGGAGTAAGTACAAAACGTACTTGGATATATTTTTTAAACAAATTTCGGAATTATTAGATTCTATTTACTATTATGTATTTGTAACGAAATGAAAAACATACGATATTTTTAAAACATGTCGCTGATCTTCAGTCTCGACGTTATTTTTACGATACAAAACGCGGGAAAATATTGTCAGTTTAAAAATTGAGTGGAAAAGATGTTATACATATCAAAACTTCTACTACTTCACCTATGACATTTTGAGTGGAAACAAATTTGAAAAATGTGTTTTTTGAGATTAATGTGCAATACAATCACCGATACTTTGAACGATCATGTTTCATTTTTTTTTAAGTTTGTCGCTGTGTTTTATTTAAAATTACTCCAAATTTTCGTTAAGGAATACGTAGAAATCTGACAAAACTCCGACAAAACGACTAAAATTATTTTAGAACAAAATCTATTTATAATAAAAAAAATGAATGTTTATTATATGTAAATGCATAAAATTCATATTTTATCAAAGATTCCACCAAATATTTGGTTTGCAAATCGTAAACTCTGTATTTTGTATACCTGGTACTTAATTGTTCTGTTTGCAAAAACGAAAATAAAATTTCCGGGAACGAAAATAAAATATCCAAAAATGAAAATAAAATTTACAAAAACGGAAATAAAATTGCGAAAAAGTCGAATAACGTTACTTTTCCTAAACTGAAACATTTATTGGCGAAAAGTTAGCAGCAACGTAAAGGGAAGGTAATACAATTTCGTGATCCTTCAGCAGGGCGATCGCGTTCCTCATCGATTTAGGTCGAGGCAGGTGCGAAACAGATGGTCGGGAGCTAGAGAGCGAGAACCGATGCAGCATTGCGCCATTAACTACAGAAATTTGCATGTTTTTCAAATTAAATTTCACGTGTCTTGTGCTTTACACTTTGTTAAGCACCTTAACGATTTCTTTATTCATTTTTAATAAGCCACGAATAATTTAGATACTTCATTTCTTTATAATATAGTTACATTGTATAAATAGAGTTATTATACTTATTTTTTTATTCGCATTTTATAGCAGAGTTTTATTCGAATAATACGTGACAAACGACAAAACGATTTGATTTTTATGTACTATTATTATATTTTACTAAATTTCATGAAATTTTTCTCTTTTATGTTATAATTACTACTCATTAATATAGTTATAATAAGTATTAAGTGTGTCAATAAGTAGTTTATTTGTCTTTTTTTTTTAAATAATAACCCCTTAATAATATTCGTTAATATTCACCGACACACTCCGCCATATTACGAAGCACGGGGCGGGAAATGCTTGGAATTTAAAATATGTTAATTTCTTAAATTTTAAAATGTATCAGATGTATAATTCTAAATTTGTCTGTACTGTTTCTCAATTGACCATTCCTTTAATATTATAATGTCGAATCAAATATAAATTAATATACATAACCTTTGTTAAATTGATCCGCTAAGTGAGTATTAGGTTATGTAATGTGATGTGTGAATGTGTTCCCGTTGCTATGAAGATAAGTTCGAAAATTTTAGTACAAAACTTGTGCTTCACGTTAATGTAAGTGTCGCTTTACTAGTAAACGTATATCTGGTGGATATAAAATACACTGTTGTGACGTTTTAACCTTCATTCGGACAGAAGAAATGTTGAGGTTCTTTTATCATTTCATAATGAACAATATACATAATAATATACATATAATAAATAACTAAAAATTTAAGGTTGCTATTTTTCTAAATAAATAACCCGAATTAGAAGAAGTAAAATATTTCAGAGTTATTAATTTCAGCTATTCTGTACTGATTGTGAGAGCACCTGAGGCTCTTCTTCATTCTAGCCTAATGAAGGTTAATAATTTTTACAAAAGTTCACGAACCAGTTATTTTCACTGATTCGATAGTTTCAGTGTTAACTCTCCATTGTCACATGGGTCAAATTGACCAAGAATTCGACTTTTAAATAAAATATCTTTGATGCATCATTGAAAACGATACTACTGGCGCCATGTACTAATACTTTCAGGTGTTCTAAAAAGCGTCTTTTCGGAATTTTGTTATTTTCCTTCAAGAATTTTTGTAAACATGATGAAATTGTCAATATTAATTTTTAACCATAAAGATATAATTTACAATGTTCAAACTAGATCTCAGAATTTTTTGCTATTTATTGTAAGAAGTATTGATTGGAACACTGGCTTGGGTCAAATTGGTGTAATGTGACAACTAAAATACGTTTGAGAAAGGAGGTCTGACATCCAAATATCCCGAAACGATCAAATATCTCAGAAATAACGCATTTCTAATAAAAATGGTTCAGACAAAAGTTTTAAGGTTTTAAAAGTCCTATCGGACGGTAATATCTGTTTGACTTTGAGTGGAGGGATCAAGGTCATGTCAAGGTCAACATAATTATTTTAAACGGAACACCTCATTTTTTTCTTATGCAGTATTATAGCTGACGACGAGACCTTCTCAAATCACTAGTTGGTGACCTCTCTACTCCACTTGACACACCCTGAGTAATGCTAATGCTGATGACACTAGATAATCGACAGCTCATAACTCAATAAATTGAAATCGAGAAAAGGTCATCAACCAGTGTTTCGGAAAGGTCTCGTCATCAGCTCTAACACTGAATAGTGAAATATGGGGTATCCCATTTAAAAAAACGGTGCTGAACTTGACGTGACCTTAACCCCTCCACTCAAGGTCAAACAAATATGACCATTCAATAGAATTTCTAAAACCTTAAAGCTTTTGTCTCAAACATGTTTTCCAGGAATGCTTTGTTTTCGAGATATTCGACGGTTCTCTGATTTCTGGAGGACCCTGTACAGTAAATCCTCGATGAGTGTTCGAAGGCTCCACAACACTGATAAGGAAAGCCTTAGCACAGTGATTAAGCTAGTTCAAGAAATATTTAATCTTCAGTACCGAGGAGCCTTCGAGCACTCATCGAGGATTTGCTGTATAACCGTGAACCACAGTCAATATCCCCCACACAGCGCCGTCCGAAAACACTGAAACCTACGATAATTGTCCTTTCCAGGTCCCACGTGGTCCCCACCGGCCCGGCAAAGGCGCCTACTGGGCTCTGCACCCGGCCGCGCTCTCGATGTTCGAGAACGGCTCGTTGCTCCGTCGTCGGAAGCGTTTCAAGCTTCACAAACCGGACAAGGAGCTTCTGAAGTCTGAACTACAAGCCCTGGCCTCGGCTATGCCGCCGCCCCACTCGGAATCATCCCCGGTGCTCACCATAAACCCAAGTGTCCAGACGAGCAGCCTAACTGTAGCGAACCTTCATCGTCTTCGGGACGATCTTCTCCGCTGGGAGCTACAGGAACGTCGTCTGACCATGACCTCCAGTGGCAACAGTTCGCCAGGCTTCGCAGCGCCCGAGCCTGGGTCCAGTTACTACCTCCTCTCGCCAGAGGTGCGACAGAGACTGACTGGGACTGATGAGATCCTCCGTGGATACGAGAACAACCTCCTTCAGACTGGGAACTGGAGCTTCCCTGGGTTCCAGGTGTCCCCATATGTCTCCCAGCTGTCGTACTTCCAGACAGAGCTACCTGACAGACAGATCTGTCCAGGGTCCACGGAACCAGGTGGCGAGAAAACCGAGTCCAGACCGTTTCTGGACGTCCCCAGAAGCTCCAGCGTGGAGGTCTCCGATGGGAAACTTGGGTCCCATGTGGCGATGGACGCTGTCACCCATGGGCAGACCAGCATCCAACCGGAGCAGAAGAAGAAGAAGAAACCGTTCACTATAGAGAATATCATTGCGCCCGACGAGGAACAGATATCGAGGAATCTGGAGGACGGGAAAAGGGGACATCTTCTTGCGCCCAGGCCACTGTACGCTGGGGGATTCTCGTTTGGGCTGTCCGCTGCGAAGGTCCCCTATGAAACTGCGACCTGAATCCTGATTGGACCGTGTGGAAGGCTTGTGACCGCGGGAATCGAGACGTGACACGTGTGGAATTCGAGTGGATTTATCGTGGTTTTGTGGATCCTTTTTGGTTGGTGGCTTTATGGGAATTGGTGGGCTTATCATCCTCCTCCAGGACCCCTGGAGGAAGCAAGATAGCGGACGTCAGGTGACTCGATGGACGTTACGGGTCGAGGACAAGCGACGGTGGATTTAAAAGTTGGGGTTGTGCCGCTTTTGGGGGTCGGTCGGGACCCCTTTGGGGAATTTCTTGGCTGCAGGAAATCAGTGTACTGGCTAACCTCTGGGGATAGAGGTTAGGTGATCGGTTTTTGATTTTGTGCTTTTTCTTTGTTTTGGATTTTAATGGGTTTTTAAGAAAGTTATTTCGATGTGTGCAAATTGTGTAGTTTAATGAAGTGATTTATTATTTTACTGCGATTCCAAAGTTTGAGGTTGGATATTTTTCGGAATGGAGGTACACTACCGCTCATGTCTTCGAAGAAAGGTTTACTGTTTTTCATTTTACATCTCAATCTAGTAATTTTTTTTTTATATTATACAAATTGTGCTTGTCTTATATTCCTTATGGTAGACAAAATTAATTATTGTGACAAATCTGAAGCATATTTTCTGGTTAAGTGTATTAAGGTACGTTTCCACGTAACACATTAGAAATGTTTGCGTTCTTTTACTAAAGGTACGACTTCACGTGACAGTAAATCGTGACTTACGGACATGACACTGAAGGTACGTTTCCACGTGGTAGTAAATCGTGACTTTTACGGACATGACACTGAAGGTATGTTTTCACGTTACAATAAATCGTGATTTTCACGATTACGATAGTAAAGGTACGCTTCCACGTGAGAATAAATCGTGACTTCCACGGTCACGATAGTAAAGGTACGTTTCCACGTGGCAGTAAATCGTGACTTTTACGGACATGACACTGAAGGTATGTTTTCACGTTACAATAAATCGTGACATTCAAGGTTATGATAGTAAAGGTACGTTTCCACGCGCGAATAAATCGTGACTTCCACGGTCACGGTAGTAAAGGTACGTTTCCACGTGGCAGTAAATCGTAACTTTTACTGTCACTTGAGAACGTACCCTTATTGTGGTCATATGGATGGTCAACATGTATGAGCGATAGTGTACAATATCGGCCAAAAGTATAGAACATGATCTGATAATTGAAGGAAGCAGAAAATATTATTCCACAAAGATTTGATGAAAGTAATATGATAAAACCGACTTTTGAAATGATTTGTAGTGATTCTGGGACTTTGATTATACATGCCCGTGATAATGAAAGTTTCCTAAGTCAATGAAATATTTTGCAAAAATACTTACACCGTGAACTAATGTAACACGAAGTAAGTAATACGTTGAATTTTTTTTTTTAGATGCTTGACTTATACCACTAGCATAACCATTGGCACGTATCGTTAAAAAATAATGACTTACTGTTCCATCGATCGTCAACTCTGGCGTCGTACTTTTGCCTGGTAGTGTGTGTACGAATGGAATATTTCAGGTTCAAGAAGTTTCTAGAGTCCGAAAAAATTCTAAAATAATCTTGTAGTATAAAAAAAATTCACGAAAAAATACGATCTACGATAAAGATCACAGATCTTTGGACCATGACCTAGATATTCAGCTCTTCTAATTTCTTCCGTACGGAAACTTCGATTTCAACGCACAATTCCAATAATTCAAAATTTTTTAATTTTAACACATTTTCTGCAGTTAAGAGATTTCGACGTTTAACCCTCGAAATCGGGGTACGACCATTTCTTTTTCCGGTGGAAAACGAGAAAAACCGACACAGTCTTTCTACTTCAGCTGTAACAGACTTAAATATCGACTCGGTGTGTGGGTGTACATAAAAAAAGTTACTCAGTATTTATCTAACGGCGTAGATCGAACGTTTGTGTTCGCGTATTTTTTTTTTTTTTTTAGAGATCTATCGAATCGCCGGCTTTTATTTCGAATCCGGGAATATTCGAAAGTTTCACCCTTCCATGTTAACTGACCGGGGCAAGAAGAAGAAAAAAGAAATGATAGTTAGTCTTTTCCTCCTCCTTTCTTGACATAATTCAACAAATAGCTTTCTCTTAGAATGCAACTGTATTCGAGAGAATCGACGACCATCGAATGTAACAAACGCTATAGAATTCGTTTAAAATTGAGGCGATTTGTTAAAATAGGTGTATCACGTGACCCGCCATTTTGTTTTGGCGCGAATTCCGAGGCGTTTTCCGAGGTTTTTCTCAACATTTTACACTGTTTTTATTCGACACAAGTTGCTAGAAGATGTTTTTTCAATGTAAATTGTAGTCCAGTTTTCGTGAAAAAAGAAAACAAATGGCGGATTATTTACTGATATTTACGCCTGAATGATTCGGAGGACGATGAGGAAAACGGGAGAAGTGATAGGTGAAAGGTGTAAAACGATAAATTGAATATAATAATATATTTAAAGTATAGCAACATATTTAACGGACAGAAACATGGCGGTTTCTATTGTAATATTGCATCGTGTGACCAGTTTTCCGTGCGAACACAGAATAGATTGGAGAACCACGCGATTGAATAATGGAATACTTAAAAGTGCAGGGACGAGTATTTGAATGATATTCAAAAACAATTTAGAAATGTTTTGGAAATCTCGATACATTTGATACTGCGGTGAAATCTCCATTATCCGAACTAAGAGAATCACGTGACCAGAAGAATTTTTACAGACACAAAATCAATTTACGAAAAATGTTGCTGAAAGGAAGTGACAAATTTGAAAAAAAAAGAAAAATGAAAGAAAAGGCTGATTTTATATTATGTAGGTTATAATTTGTATAAAATAGAGGCTCATGTAATATGGGGTGTTCAAAAAGTAACTAAATGAATTTTTTTACCAGTGTCTTTTGTGATGAGAAATTATTAAATAATCGTCACAATTTCTAAAAATTTGTTAGATTTCAGCGATTAGAAGTAATTAAATAATTATCAGAATGTAAAAAATTGAAAACAGGGAAAAACATAAATGAACATAGAATTTATTAAATACAGTTTATTTTTTAAATTTTATAATAGGACCAAGACAAAATAAATTCAAAGCTGAAGTAAGAAATGAGAGACCTTAAAAAGAATTAGTAAAAACTAAAAAATAAGTACAGAATCCTCTCGATTACCGTCCCGAACTGGGGTCCGCGCCGGGACAATAATCGTGTAGAACAAACCAGACGATAATCGAGACAAGTCTGTAATAAGAAAATATGAAAATAAAATAAAGCCATTAAAAACGTAATCGTTTAATTTTGAAACACCCTGTATATTTCAAGCATTATCATTTCGAACAATGGAGACTTCACTGTACCAAAAACAAAAAAGACAAAATAAAATCTATTGGAGTTTCACAATGAAACCAAAAAAGCACCAAGTATCAATTCCCTAAAGCAAAGTATTCGAGGTTACGTAAAGGATTAGGAGAGTGCTCGAGAAATACACTGTGAAGTGATAAGTAAAACGTAAAAGTATACCTGATAAACGCATAAAGATACTCAACGAAACCGTAAGATACGTAAAGATACTTTACACGTGTTATTATAGGTAATTACAGTTTGGCAGCGATCGTGCAGCGCTCGAAGCATGTGTTCGTGGTGTGAACCGAAAAAAATGGTTCCCCAAGATCGATGAACGCGTTCGGAAACTCGGAGGATTTACACTGGAAAATCGAAACTATCCGTGAAACGACGAGTTCTTAACTATTACTTAATAGCCCCTGTAGTCACTCTATCCTCCCTCATAGATAATTGTAGTTGGATCAGCTGCTCGTTGGAGATCAGATAAAGATCGATGAAAATTACGTCAATTGCGAAGAAAAAAATCTTTAACGGTTTGTCGAAGATCATGGAAGAGTATAGATCATTCTTACTGTTTAACACTTCGTGGGCAATGTGGGTCGTTGACGATCCAAGGAAAATCCAATTTTTCTTCAACTTTGCTTGGAATTTTTATTTCTATTGAAAAAAAAGAGTTATTTAACAGCTTCAAGATATGTACATAACCTCTTAACGAACGATTGTATACCGTAATAATGACTTTGATAAGTTCCCCAGAATTTTGTCAGATTTTTTTATAACCTCAAAACAATAACAAAAATGAGACTTGGATGTTACTAACCCAGTTTGCCTGCGTAGTGTGAAGAAATATGTGTCGACTAAAAAATGGCGACGATTGTGACGTTATTGACGGTGAAAAAAGTGGATGCTTCAGCTTTGGTTGAATCAACTGTTCGTCTGAGATCACGAATCTGTACCGATTATGCTTATTGTATTTAAAAAATGGCGTCGATTAGCGAAGAATGTGATGATGAGGATCGTTGAATCAACTGTTTGCTGAAGATCACGAAAGAATGTGGTTCGGAAAAATGGCGTCGATAGTAATGTCATTGACAGTGAGGGAAATGACCTTGAACGGCCAGTTGAAGTTCAGTCCGACTGTACCATAACCTATAAGGTTAAATTTTGGAGGCTCTCGATGAAACGATCGCCACTTTAATGAAATTTCCTTCTTTTTTATGAGAAGTAATATTTATGAATTGGAATAATTTATGAATTTTTCACATTACGTATTTTTTTTTTTAGAAAAAATTAAGCTTGCCATATGAACAGTTTAAACAATTCGAAACGAAAATTAAAATTTTGTTCTTTGAGTGCAGTGTCAGTTGGACGAATCAGTAATGGCCTTTAATGTCGACTTTTCATTTCAGTCTACAGGAACATGAAAAAAAAAACAGAATATTTTAGAAAAAATATCTTTCAAATTGATCGTTGGAAAACTACTTTTTTTCCAATTTGAATGAATAGTTGCAAGTGGATTTTATTTTGTCGTTGGTTTGAAAATATGATAATTTGGGTAATAATTGAAGCGTCTCGAAATATCAATCGATCTTTCGATTTTTCGAAAAAAAAAGTGTTCGATCT